AAAGGAGGACATGTCCGGTAAATCCGGACGAATGGTAACCCTAACCTAGGGGTTACAGTGGATGAGAAGCTGGATATGAGTTAACAGTGTGCCCTTGTTGCCAAGAAGGCTAACGGCATTTTGGGCTGTATAAGTAGGGGTATTGCCAGCAATCGAGGGACATGACCATTCCTCTCCATTCGACATTGATGAGGCCTCATCTGGAATACTGTGTCCAGTTTTGGGCCCCACACTACAAGAAGGATGTGATAAAATCGGAAAGAGTCCAGCGGAGGGCAACAAAAATGATTAGGGAGCTGGAGCACATGACTTATGAGGAGAGGCTGAGGGAACTGTGATTGTTTAGTCTGCAGAAGAGAAGAATGAGGGGGGATTTGATAGCTGCTTTCAACTACCTGAAAAGAGGTTCCAAAGAAGATGGATCTAGACTGTTCTCAGTGGTACCAGATGACAGAATAAGGAGTAATGGTCTCAAGTTGCAGCGGAGGAGGTTTAGGTTGGATATTAGGAACAAGTTTTTCACTAGGAGAGTGGTGAAGCACTGGAATGGTTTACCTAGGGAGGTGGTGGAATCTCCTTCCTTAGAGATTTTTAAAGTCAGGCTTGACAAAGCCCTGGCTGGGATGATTTAGTTGGGGATTGGTCCTGCTTTGAGCAGGCGGTTGGACTAGATGACCTCCTGAGGTCCCTTCCAACCCTGATACTCTATGATTCTATGACCTAGTGGTCAGACCAGGAATCGGGCATCAGACCGGGTCAGATATCAGGAGGTCAGATGCTGAGACAGGCCAGAGGGCAAAACCAGGAGTCAACTGCCAGGAGGCAGCAGGATCAGTTACCAAGTGATCAGAGTCAGACAGTTGGAGCAGGTATCACAGGGGAAGCAGCCCTCAACAGGGGAAACCCAGCTGCAGGGACAATTTCTTGTGTCTGTGCTTGGGTTAAGTAGAAGATGGGGACTAATCAGGACCCCCAACATTCTTCCAATCAGCTGGAGTCCTCTGTCAGGGTTCAGCTTCTAGTCTGACAACTGCTAGCAGGTCCCTGGGTGGCAGGTGGAACTTACTAGCTGCTAAGAGCCCAGTGGACCAGCATTCAAGATCTGTAGTCCCGGACACCTGGGGACAGGAGCACCCGCTTCTTGTGTTCTCTCCTCCCTTCCTATCGCCCACAGCCCTCTTTGGTACCTGTTCCCCCAAGTCTCCTGCTTCCCAACCACTTCCCATCCCAATATCCGTTCTAAATGTTCTTTGCTCCTGCCAAAAAGTGTCCCCTCCCTCCCACTGCTAGCACCCCCCTTTCCTGGAGCACCTGGCATCCACCCTCCCTTTACTCACACCCTCAACCTTCCCAGCTTCTTGAGCTCCCGATCCAACTCCCTCCCACTGCTCCTAGCCCTCCATGGCACCGAATTCCCTACAGGAGCTGATCCAGGGCATCCCCCCGCTGGTCCCAGCCCCAACTCACAAGAGCTCTTTATCCCAAACCTTCCTCTCTCCAGCCTGCCATCAGCTGGACCCTGAAGGAGAATTGTGAGGTAGCTTTCTGGAGGTGTATGGAGAGCTCCTCCCAGCATGAGCAAAAGCACGAAGCAGATAGTTTGAACATTTAACAAGTGAGTGATGGAGGCCTGGCGGGTCACAAGTGGGAGCTGGCATCTCAGTGCTGAATCAGAAATTATACGTCAGATGCAGCCAAGCTGTGAAAGGACTTACCACTGAAGATAAGCAGCTTATGTTTGAGGGGACAGAGATGGGGGAACCAATGGAGGGATTCAGAGAGAGGGATGCCATTGATTTGCAGAGCATTAGACGCCACAGCCTTTTTACAGTCTCTTTTGGGACTGCTCCCTTTAATGTGCTAGACCCTAAGCTTAGTTCTTGGAGAGTAAGCCCCACAGCTCCACTTCTCTGAGTGTGGGCCTGGTGGCAGCACCCCCTTTTCTCACCAGGGCTCTCCAGTGAGTCCAAGAGAGTCCCCTCTCTTTAAGGGGTGATGCAAACAGTAGGTATCTGCAGCAATGCAAGAGAGGCTCTTCACAACAAGCCAGTGTTTATTAGAGAATGCAGTATTGAAGGGCCCCCTCAGGTTAGTCTGAGTCCTAGGTATGTGCAAGAAAATGTTATAAGAGCAAGCTGATTTTGGAAAAAGCTGCTTTGGAGGAGTCTCTGTCTCAAGACCCCTTTGTCAAATAACCCCATCCTTGGGCCACTACCCCTGCTGAGCACCCCCATGAACAGCAGCATATTTCAAGCCAATCCAAATAAGCATGTGGATTTTAGGGCAGTCAGAATGGTCAGCCTTTAAACAGAAAGCAATGCTGAAATTTAACTATAGCAGAGATGGTGCTTCTCTGTAAAGACTTCCTGAGTTAGCATTAATAGTTGTAGCGTTTGGAATTTCAGATCACCATGAGCTGAACAGACAAGTCAAAGAGACTGAAATGCACAGGCAGGAAGACCAAGCCTCTGTTCAGATCCAGAGAGTTTCCAGCAATCTGCTCTCACAGAACAGTCTCAAGGGACATGCTGTGGCCATTGATGCTGAGCTACATCCTTGTGTTTGAGTCCTACGTCTGACAGCTTCTAGACAGTGTGTGTTGGCAGGAGTTCCTTGTGGAAGTTTTGCTCTGATACCAACATTTCTCAATTGAGAGCAATATTTTCAAGTGTTCTATAATCCACAGGCAGGCTTTGACCTGGCCTGCCCTTAAAAGCTTCACCAGCATAGCTATGTCAGTGAGGGGTGTGAAAAATCACATCCCTATCCCACATAGCTCTGGCAGCAAGAGCTCTGGTGTAGACACAGTTATAGTGGCAACAAAGTCCATTTAAAAAAAAAAATCAAAGACTTTAAATGTCCATAAATTTCCTTTATGCAGCGTTTAACATTGCCCAGTGCTGCCTCATGCCCTGATGGTGGCTAAACCTTTGAAAACCAGGAAACAGAGTTAAAGTACACACCACCCTTACAATGCATCCTTAACTCTGCCTTCACCCCCTAGCCCTGGAGCTGGCAATAGCCATTAAGAATAGCTCAGTAAAGGTGTAAAGGTTTACAAACTACCAGGGGATGTGAAGAATTCTCCATCTCTTGAAATCACGATATGATGCCTTGCCAGAGGATGATTTAGTCAACACAAGGTATTCAGCTCAATAAACTGGTAAGTGGATGTAATTCTATGACCTGTATTATGCTACAGGTCGGACTAGATGACCTTTGTCCCTTTTGACCATAAAATCTCAGTCTATAACAGATATGAGAAAAGACTGGTGTTGTGTTCCACAGACTGCAATGCCAGCATTGATCTGTATGCACCTCAGCTATGTGCACTGCGCTAGCTGTAATTGAATAGTGCAGGGATTAATTGGAGCAGATTGGCAGAGATGTAACTGTGATATGAAGAGAGGTGCAAATGAACCTTGAGGGACCAAGTCCTCATTTCAGTGCTGAGTGTTATTGACCCAACCTTCAAAGGTGCACAAAGTTGTGTTCTCACCATGGGGATTGTCAGCAGTCTGGTGACATACATGCTAATGGTCTCCAGAGCTCAGTGAGGGGAAAGTGAAGGCAATGACTCAGAAGGAATCCCCATGGGGAGAGAAAAGGGGTGGTAATGTTTTGCTAGTCTGAGATGCTTTGTGTGCAGTAGGCTCAGTGTTTAACTATAGCCGGGGTAGGTAGCTTCTGTCTGCTACAATGGAAATGAACCCAAGTTTTCCCTTAGCAAAGAGAAGATGTTAGACTTTGTGCTATCCTGTTGTGTGCTCTGTTCCCAAAGTGTTCTGTAGCGGGGAGGGCAGAGCGTTAGCATGTGTGTCACTGGCATGTCAGGCCATTGCTGAAACAGGGCAGAGCTGAGGTTGCATTGTGGGAGTGACGTGAACTTTAACTCTTCATTTCCCCTTCTAATAGCCATGGGGACAGGAATCCTTACCCAGCGAGGTCACATTCTCATAGTTTTCTTGCATGACGTCTCTGTAGAGGGCTCTCTGAGCAGGGTCCAGCAGAGCCCACTCCTCCTTGGTGAAATACACAGCCACCTCCTTGAAGGTCACCGGCCCCTGAAAGAGCAAGAGCCACCCACTCAGTACCTGCTGCCCCAGAGACAGCCCCCTAGTCGTGGGGGAGCAGGGCCAGGAAAATGGAAGCTCTGGGAGGCACAGTCCCCACAGTCCCACCCCCACCCTGCTCAGAGAAGCCAGGAGGCATCAGAGTGAGGAGGGAAAGAGAGAGCCCCTCGTCCTTCCCAGCAGACAGAGGGGGCAGGGTCTTCACATTCATCACACACCTATTAGCCAGAGGCTGACACAGCCGATGGAGCCCCTGGCAGGGTCAAGGTTCAGTCCCAGGGTAGGAATCCCAACACCCTCCCTATTGCCAGCAGCAGTATGTGAGGGGACAAGTAATCTCCCCTAAGCCGCAGTGGTGGGTACCCCCTTCGTATCTCATCGCAGACTCTGGCTGGCAGCTCCAGCACTGGGAGCTTGATAAGTTTTCCCAGCCCTGTCCAGGGGGGTTGTTTCCTGTTCTTCAGATCATGGATTTTCTATCCCAACGCCCATGGGTCTGTTCTTGGAATCTAGGCCCAGGTTAAACTAGTTCCAGCAGGTCTGTCACACTCTGTCCTCCCCCCGTCTCCATCTTCTATGTTTCCTGCCCCCTCCCACCTCCAGAGCAAACTGCCCAGACGCTCCCACCTCCTGTGTATTTACTGCCCCTCTCCCGGAACTCCTCAACAATCCCTACCTGAACTGGCTCCACTGCAGCCATTCCCCTTCCCTGTCCCATGGGAGGCTGAGCCAAGCCGGTGTGAAACAGGGACGCTCCTCTGCAGCCTGTCAGGGCGAGAAGGGCAACTTGGGAGATTTCCAAACAGACTTTGCTTAATTCCACATCACAAGTCGTCCCCCCCCCCCCAGCTTTTTCCCTGCAGACAGATGTTCCAGATTCTGCCATGCTGGGAACAAACTTTAACCCAGCACATCCACAGGCCCTCCACCAGGACTGAACCCACCACCGAGAGATGTTTAAACCCTCCCAGTGTGACACCATCTCTGAACCTACGGCTAGAAAAGAACTGAACCAAAGGAGGCACTTTGGGGCATTCCCCTGCCATAGCCGCAGGGGAACCAGGAGAGGCAGGGACTGGCTGCTCCTCACCTTGCCCACAGGACTGTGAATCTGCAATACACGTGTCAGGGCAGGTGAGAGATCTGGGCCACTCCCTCCCCACTTATTTCTCCCCCTGACCCTGTCAGGCTCTCTCTCCTCTATCCCCTGCCCCCCTCCCTCTGACTGGGACAGCCCCATTCTTGGGGTTTTCCCTCGCCCATGGCTGGATCCGCTCCTGCAATTGCTCCCAAGAGGGGCTGTTTGTGTAGAGTCAATGTTACCCCTGTCCCCGAGGTCACTCACCCGCAGTCTTCGGCTCAGGGCTGGGGTGGGCAGAGCCCTGGGCTGCCTCAGGGGGCTGGTTTCCGCTGGAGAAAGCCCCCCTTGGAAGTTGCAGTGCAGGTCTCCCCCAGCACAGGAGAAGTAGCAGCTGTTTAGCCCGGCTCTCTGACCCCAATGCAAGTAGCAGCCAGCTCAGCTCTTTGTTCTCCTCGATTGCTGCCTCCTTCCTCCCAGCAGCACGCTCCGCTCCAACCTGCTCTGCTGCTTCAGCCACTTCCTGTGTCCTTCAACACCAGCCCGGGCTGCAGAGCTGCTGAGCCGCGGGCTTGCTCCTGCTGGAACCCGCCCCGTCTCCGCGCGTCCCAGCAGGAGCCGGTCCAGCTCGCGGGAAGTGACTGGCTCTCCCGACCAGAGGGGGGAGCGGATATACAGGGAAAGCGGAGAGAGACTGAGAGGACCAGATGGAGAAATAAACGGGAAGGGAGGTTCCCAGCTCTTTTACTGCATCACCCTGGGCTGAGCGTCACAGACCCCCCTGTCGCCCCAGGGATCTCACAGGGGGGTCTGCTTCATGCCAGGCACCGGCCTCGCTGCTGCCGCCCCTCCCCACCCCTGCTTTGTCACCCCTCCATGCGGGCAGGTGTGCAAATTAACATCTCTGCTTCCAGGGACAGGACCTGTGTCACTTTACTGCGTGGGGAGGCACCAGGGAAACTCACACACTCACGGGCACTGTTCAGATAATAACTAAAGAGCTGTTCAAGAGATTAAAAAAATGAATCGCGATTAATCGCTCTGTTAAACAATTAAATATTTTTGGATGTTTTCTACATTTTCAAATACATTGATTTCAATTACAACACAGAATACAAACTGTACAGTGCTCACTTTATTTTTTATTACAAATATTTGCACTGTAAAAAAACAAAAGAAATAATAATAATATTTTTCAATTCACCTCATACAAATAATGTAGTGCAATTTCTTTATTGTGAAAATTGAACTTATAAATGTAGGCCTTGGCTACACTGGTGCTGTACAGCGCTGCAACTTGCTGCGCTCAGGGGTGTGAAAACGCCCCTCCCCCCCCCGAGCGCAGCGAGTGCAGCTCTGTAAAGCGCCAGTGTAATCAGCGCCTGCAGCGCTGCACGCTCGCTCGCAGCGCTGCAAGCTACTCCCCTCGGCAGCGCTGTGAATTGCCAAGTGTAGCCAAGGCCTTAGAGTTATGTACAAAAATCCTGTACTCAAAAATAAAACAAAGTTCACTCAGATCTACTTCTTGCTCAGCTAATCGCTCATACAAACAAGTTTGTTTACATTTACAGAAGATAATGCTGCCTGCTTCTTGTTTACAATGTCACCTGAAAGTGAGAATAGGCATTTGTAGCTGGTGTTGCAAGATACTTAAGAGCCAGATGCGCTAAAGATTCATATGTCCCTTCATGCTTCAACCACCATTCCAGAGGACATGCTTTCATGCTGATGATGGGTTCTGCTCGATAACAATCCAAAGCAGTGCGGAATGACCCATGTTCATTTTCATCCTCTGAGTCAGATGCCACCAAGAAGATTGATTTTCTTTTTTGGTGGTTCAGGTTCTATAGTTTCCAGATTGGACTGTTGCTCTTTTAAGACATCTGAAAGCATGCTCCACACTTCGTCCCTCTCAGATTTTGGAAGGCACTTCAGATTCTTAAACCTTGGGTTGAGTGCTGTCGCTAATTTTAGAAATCTCACAATGATACCTTCTTTGCGTTTTGTCAGATCTGCAGTGAAAATGTTCTTAAAACGAACAACACATGCTGGGTCATCATCTGAGATTGCCATAACACGAAATATATGGCAGAATGCAGGTAAAACAGATCAGGAGACATACAAGTCTCCCCCAAGGAGTTCAGTCACAAATTTAATTAATGCATTATTTTTTTAATGAGCATCATCGGCATGGAAGCATATCCTCTGGAATGGTGGCCAAAGCACAAAGGGGCATACGAATGTTTAGCAAACCTGGAACGTAAATACCTAGCAATGCCATTGTGCCATGTGAACACCTGTTCTCATTTTCAGGTGACATTGTAAATAAGAAGCGGGCAGCACAATCTCCCATAAATGTAAACAAACTTAGACTCATAGACTCTAAGGTCAGAAGGGACCATTATGATCATCTAGTCTGACCTCCCGCATGATGCGGGCCACAAAAGCTGACCCACCCACTCCTGGAATAATTGTTTGTCTTAGTGATTGGCTGAACAAGAAGTAGGACTGAGTGGACTTGTAGGCTCTGAAGTTTTTACATTTTGTTTTTGTGTGCAGTTATGTAATAAAAAAAATCTACATTTGTAAGTTGCACTTTCATGATAAACAGATTGCACTACAGTACTTGTATAAGGTGAATTGAAAAATATTTCAATTATCATTTTACAGTACAAATATTTGTAATAAAAAATAATATACACAGAATACAATATATATAAAAATGTAGAAAAACATCCAAAATATTTAATAAATTTCAATTGGTAGTCTATTGTTTAACAATGTGATTAAAACTGCGATTAATCGTGATTAATTTTTTTAATCGCGATTAAATTTTTTGAGTTAATCGTGTGAGTTAACTGTGATTAATTGACAGCCCTACTAAAGACACCATTAGTAGTGTATTGTCATTATGTTATCCTACCCATGCTGGCATGGCCCCTCTGCTGAGCAAGAGCTGGCCTGGGCCTGGCCACAGGAGGAGAAATCAGTGCCCAGAGTCTGGGTAAATCCCAAGTGAGATTTGCTTTATTTACATGACTACACCAGCCCTGGAACAGAGGCAAACAGCACACAGGCAGCCCCCTCCTCCAGAAATCTCAGTGCACACCAATGCCTGGTTCCCTGTTAGCTACTCTGGGCCAAGCATTGCCTTTGAATGCAGAGAATACAACAGAACAAACTCTGCTGTCCGCCATAGCTTCTCTCTGAGGACAGCTGCATCCCCAAACTCACAACAACCTTGTTCAGTCCCATTGGTGGACATTTCCTTACAGGCTAAGCAAAGACCCTGTCTGCCTGTACAGCTAGCTGGGCCACCAGCTCCCTCCCACACCATAACAATCATCCCTGGAGGAGAAGTGCCAGGAGCTCTTGGGGGAGAGGGAGTTCAGTCTCCAGAGCCCGTTGAGCCGGGGGCTGCCCTACCAGACTATGGTGCATATCGTCAGTGAGGGGCAAATACGCCATTTGGGGGATAGTTACTGTGATTCATTGGAGCTCTGTAGTCGTGCTCAGATGCCCCCCTCAGGGCCCAGATGAGGGGTGGGTCCTACCCATGGTTCCTTTTTCCAAAGCCCCTCCATGCTCTAGGGTTCCGATCTGGGGTTTGTAAGCAGCCTGCCCCCTCCCTTCCCTTCTGAGTCTGTGTCCCCAAGGGACACGGTGACAGGGATTCCGAACTCAACAGGGAGTTAGGAAAGCGATTTTCCTCACTTTGGGGTCCCAACAAAATAAAACCCCTGAGCATCTCCACCCCTGCTGTCCCTGGCACTCCGGCAGGCTCTCTGTTGTCAGAGAACCAGGCGTTACTATAGTGGGGCCCCCTGGGCGGAGTTCATA